CTGAGGTAGTTAATTGTTCTTTGGGTGATTTGTTGCGGTGCCTAGTTGGGGTTAATCTTCGCTCATGGGATCAACGGCTTAGCCAGGTAGAGTTTGTGTATAATCATGCTCGGAATAGGAGCACCAATTTTAGTCCGTTCCAAGTTGTGTATAGTATTCTGCCTTGCCGCCCTGTTGATTTATTGACCCTACCCTCAAGACTCAGTTGCATGGGATTGTTGTTGACTTTGTTCGTAGTTTGCAGCAGGTTCATGAGAAAACACGAGCTAATCTGCTGGAGTCCAACTGTAAGTATAAAGAGACAGCTGACTAGCATCGACTTTTTGTTGAGTTTGATGTTGGGGATTATGTTTGGGCGGTGCTGACTAAAGATCAAGTGCCATTTCATGAGCATTCAAAATTAGCACCTTGTACCATTGGTCCAGTGGAAATTATAGAGAAGATTAATCCCAACGCCTATCGCCTTTGACTTCCTTCTCATATTCGGACTTCTGATGTGTTTAATGTGAAGCATCTTTTGCTATACCATGGAGACAACACAGACGACAGTGCTACTAGTTCTGATTCGAGGGCGAATCCCATTGACCCCGGGGAGAATGATGAAGTTCGTGTGGAAGAACAGATGCTTACATACATGGAACGTTTGGATTGTCGACGTTCGAAGAAATTTTGCATAACTTTTGCATACGGTATCCGTTTTGGGCCCACAACCCCATTCAGAAAGCTCGTGACGATTCTGAATGAACTTACCGCTTTGCCGTGACGTATGATGAATTTTGACAGTTTGAATTCATTTACTAATTCAAAACAGCATTTAAAGTTTCTTGGTTTGTTATTTTCAATATTTCTTATTTTCGTTTTGTAGCCTAGCCCATTAAGGAACTGTTGGCCCAGTAAGTTATTTTAGGGACGGATTCAGGATTGGATCTAAGATCGGGCTACAATACTTCAAACCAGGCTACTACGCGAAAAAAAAAAGATTTACACATAAAAAATTGATTTTTTACCCAAAAAATACCTTTAAAAAATTCTTGGGCCGAGTGTGGGGGGACTGCAGTCCAGCCCAGCCCCCCTAAATCCGTCTCTGGGTTATTTGTTCTTTTCGTATTTAAGGCTTGGAAAATGCCTCCTAGGTTTTCTTTGGTTGTTCATGAAATAAGAAAAATGCTGGTTTCTTGAGTTCAATCCGTTTGTGTTATTATTATTGTGTTGTTGTAGATTCGATCTACATCAGTGCATCAAGGAATAACCTTATTGGTAATGATCAGCTGTTCTTATCATCCAAATTTGCATGCATGTACATCCATTTGTATTTATCATGACCAAGTTTTTTTTTTTTAATACCCAAGTTCATATTTGACATAGCTTTTGCTTTTCTTAGGTCAATGAAGGCAAAATTCCAAAAAATATCAATGTAATTGTAAAAATTCCAAAGATTAGTTAGAAGACATGGGGACTAATGAAAGGAGTAATTGCTTAGTCTTCACAAAAGTTTGAGGAGTACACTAAAGAAGCCTCTGACTGGATTTTTGTGGTCATTTATTGCTCCATATGTATACTAATTATTTACTAGTTTCAATTACCAGCAAGGTGTTGGAGTTCATCAACAATCGACAGTTGCTATAGAGACATTGCGACCAAAATTACATGTAGTGGTTATTTTCATAGTAATTAGTAAATAACTTACAAGTACACGAGTTACTTGGTTTTTTTTTTAATTCAATAGTATGTATGTATGTAGGATCATGAGTGTGCCTTCTTTGATTCGGGTTACTGAACATTATACAAGGTATTAACTCCAAAATACTAATTCCGATTTAAAGAATTGTGAAAATGTCTAAGCAATTGATGGGGATGAATATTTTTGTGGTCATTTATTGCTCCATATTTATGCTAATTATGTACTAGTTTCAATTACCAGCAAGGTGTTGGAGTTCATCAACAATCGACAATTGCTATAGAGACATTGCAACCAAAATTACACGTAGTGGTTATTTTCATAGTAATTAGTAAATAACTAACAAGTACACGAGTTACTTGATTTTTTTTTTTTTTAAATTCAATATCAACAGGAAACTACATGAACAACAACTACCTTCTAGAAGTCTTGCTTTTACACGGTTCATGAAACTCCAACACATTGAACACACTAACATTATTTTCAAAATAAATCAACTATAGTTAAAACGTTTACAAAAATTATTAATTTCATAAACATGTAATTAAAAATAAATTTAAAGAAATAAATTTTAAACAATGGGACAAACAATGGAAGTCTCTGTTTGGAATCCATTTTAATTTTAATGTACTTTTTTTTTTTACAATCGTACATTCGTCAATGAAACAATATTGTACATAAACCTAAATTCTTTCGTTCATTTGTAAAACGAAGTCAACAAATCACATAAGTCCACTAATTTGAGAAGCTGAGATTACAAAATGGGTAAATAGCACAAAACGTCCCTACGTTTTAATGTTGTTGTACAAAACGTCTACACCATTTATTTTTTGGTATTTTCACACCTATTTCCACCTTTCACTGAGCAGAAGGTCCTTTTCATCCATTTTTGACGATTTTATCCTCCTATTCTAATAAAATGAAAAGAAAAGAAAATATAAAGAACTAATCGTAATTATAGTCCCAAATTTTCAAAATTACTAATCTGTCACAAATATAGCCATCCAACCACTTCCAAAAAAACTTCTCCTTCCAATCCCCATTCTCTCTTCTACCGTCCACTTCCCAATCCCCCAAACGAAGCCATTAACAACGCTCAACTACCAAAATCAAACAGACTTCATTTTACTGTAAATTTGTATATTAGTTATTTCAGTTTTTTATTGTTGTTTAGTAGGTTTAATGCGATGGTGTCAAAGAAATTGAAAGAGCAAAGGGAAATTAGCTCGAAAAGAACTAAGGTGTGAAAGAAGCCTCCAGATAGCAAGCACCGAAAAGTTCCAGTTTTTTATACCTTTTTAGAAATGGGCAGCTCCAACATCCCCATTTCATGGAGGTTTCTCTTTCTCTAATCAAGGCCTCTCTCTTCTACCGTCCACTTCCCAATTTGCATATTAGTCTATCTCCCTAAGAAACTTTTCCTTCCAATCCACACTACTAGTACTAGAACTAACCCCCTTTTCCTCTTGCATGTCCTCAACCTTGTCTTGTTGTAATTTCACCTTATACTTGTGCAACAATGCTTTAGAAAATAGGAGCCCAGATGAATCTTTGGATTCAACATGGGCATTGAAGTTTTTATAGAAATTCCTTTGGAATGTGGTCTTTTAAAAGTGGTGGATGTATTTAGCAAGGCTCTTGCTTCCATGGCTTTATTTTTCTGTATTTTTTTCCTTTAGGTGTAGGGCTACACAAAAAAAAAAAAAAAAAAAACCATGAAACCGTTGGTTCAGTTTCCCTCAAACTGTATCAAAATGGTTTGGTTTAGATTTTGATTTTCAAAAATCGCACAAAACCAAACCGAACCATTTTTAAATTTTTTAATTAAAAATAAATTTTATTAACTTGAAAATTTTACAATTTTCACTTTTCAAAAAAAAAAAATCAACTCAACAATACAAATTATAACCAAACTATTGAAATAATCATAGAAAGTAAATTAGATTCATCATTATTGACCTATGATAGGTTTTTAACATATATTCTCACCTAATATCTAAACTAAACTAAAGTTATTCCAAAATCATATAAAATGAAGAAAAAATATATTTTCAACAATTCGAATTATAATTCAACAAAACTATGTTAACAAATCACGTCCAAAATTTCAGAAACCCTAATACAAACTCTTATTTTTCTAACATTTGACGCTTGTTTGCCACTACTGAATGAATTGTCAGTCATCTTTGCTTGTTAGTCTACTAATCTCTACTTGAATTACATATTTTTCTCTTCTCTTTCGGTAAGCCTTGGATTTTTATTCAAGTCATTTTTCCATTGTTCTTTCTTTTATTTTTTATTTTTAACTTATTATATACTTGTGAGTTGTGATTTAAATAGAAAAATAATTGTTTGTGTGTCTAGATGATAATGAACTTGTTTGTGATTTGAAAAGAACGAAGGACGGAGCGCACTAATTATATGAAAATGTTAAAATTTTATAACTAGTACTACTACGTTATACTTTCATAAAATAGTTAGATAATGAAATTCCTCAATCCCCAATAAGTTGTAACTTTATCAATCTTTGTACATTTAAACATACCGTATTCAATCAATTATTTAACATCTCACTAGCAAAACGAATAGAATTTTAACCAAACTATAATAATAGAATGTAACTTTATTTTTACCAATTGTTATATAATAATATGAATGTCAAATAAGAAAATGTAAATAAAAATGAAGAAATATGTATTTGTTCTATTAACATCTTTTAACAACCAACTTTGAAAATAATTTATTCATGGGTCTCATGATAAATATGAATGTAATTTAACATTTAACGTTATTAGTTTTCGTTTAAATTTATATTTAACTTATGTTAAATACATTACTATAATGTCAAAAGGTAAACGACAGATTAAAACAGAATCAAATCGCAAATTATTGTTTGGTTTAGTTTGGGTTGAAAAAAATTTCAAATTGCATAAAATATTTTGAGTTAAAAATATAGCACAAACCGCGCAAATTGAACCGCGTTCACCCCTATTTAGGTGAAACGATTTACACAAACTATTTTATGGATATGGAAAATGTAAAATTGGAAACTTACGATTATAGGACTATGGTTGGATGGAAGGGGTTGGATGGCTATATTTGTGATAGATTTGTAATTTATTGAAAATTTGAGATTGCGATTGCAATTAATTTTTTATTTTTTTATATTTTTTGTTTTATTTCAATATGAGGATAAAATCATCAAAAATGAATCATTAGAACTTTCTGAGCACTAAAAAATAAAAATAGAGATAAAATGTCAAAAAACGAAAAATATACACATTTCGCACAATAACATTCAAAGTTAAAAGTATTTTGTGCTGTTTTCCCATTGCAAAGCTACCCCTATTCTCAATCTTCTCCACGTGGGAATCCTATCCTCATTTCCTCTTTTGCCCACTCGTGAATTATAACGTATATACAGTGTACAAGCGTTCAAATCCCTATCCTTCGTCTTCTCGATTTTCACGATTTCTGTGTGTTGTTTCTAGCTTCTGTTTGTTTTTCTAAAATTGTAGATTTATATATGTTTCGTTAGATGATAATTGAAATTTGATCCGAGAAGTGGATCTGAAACTCTGATGGAAAGGATAGTCGGAGGTAAATTTAAACTGGGCCGTAAGGTCGGCAGTGGATCCTTCGGCGAAATATTTATGGGTAAGTTTTTTATGCACCTATGAACAGTTTTTATTTGCTGAATTTCTTTGTGTTTTACTTTCAACATAAGCTGAGTATTTTTTATTTTAACTAAAACTTCGGGGAATTTTTTATTTTGCAGCTACACATATTGATACTTTTGAGATCGTTGCGGTGAAGATCGTAAGTTCTGAATTTAATTAAAAATGACTCTTTTTATTTCATAAAATTGTTGCATGTAGTTTTGATTCAGGGTTTCCATTTCTTCCTTCCTTTTCTTCTATCTAGAATCAGAAAGGTGTCTGCTCGTGGTTCTGTGTCATGTTGTATGTGCTATGCTTGTAAACATCATTTAAGCACACATGGAAAGATTGGGTCTGTTGTTGAAACTGCATGTCTAAATTGTCAGCATAGAGAGTAGTTAATATCAATGTATTACTGTTTTTATTTTTTATTTTTTATAATAAACTCAAATCCTTTGTATTTGTTTTTTCTCTGCAGGAAAATAATAAAACAAAGCACCCACAACTTCTTTATGAGGCCAAGTTATACAATAGTCTTCAAGGAGGAAGTATGTAATAATCATTTCCCAAGTGTTTTGAAATGCAAATGATGCACATTTTTTTGTATGTGTGTTTATGCCATTACCAGTGCCATGTAATTTACCTCCACATTGAAATAATAAGTGTACTTATTACTCCACTATGAAAACAACAGTCTCGGGATAAGTTTGGGAAGCCAAGATTTTCAAATGCTTATATGTGTTTAGTGCTCCTTTGACCGTGTCTAAAAGTAAAAGAGAAGTCAAAAGTTGATATACATGTTTCATTATTCTCAAACTGTCGTCAAGCACTCATATGTCTCAACTCTATGATTAAGGGTGAAAATTGGCAATTCTCTTGCATTATAATTGATAATATTCATTAAGTTTTCTTTTCTTCTATCTGAATGAAGATAAACGAATATTGGAAAGATGAGAGAAATTAGCTGTACCTATGTTAGAGCAATGTCAGGTTTCATATGGCTGTATTTATTGAGATGACGGTATAAGATCTGGTGGCATGAAACAAATGCCTATTAGCGTGTCTCTGATGTGTTGTGCATTCCAAATACACGTGTCTTAGCTTTCCATACATAGAGATTGCATAGCACTGAAGACTGCACGAGGACTCTATTATGACCGTCAGTTGTTTGCATTTTGGCTTGTTATTTTTAGGCTTTAAAGTATTTTATCTCCATTCGCTAATCAGGTGGTATACCTGGCATAAAATGGTCTGGCGTGGATGGGGAAGATAACGTCCTTGTCCTTGATTTGCTGGGACCAAGCCTTGAGGATCTTTTCGTGTACTGCAGAAGGAAGTTCTCGCTGAAAACTGTCTTGATGTTGGCTGATCAAATGGTAAGAATTTAATAATTTTATTTGTATTTGCTCCCAAACTCTTGCATTCTTCTTTTATTTCATACTTGTTACAATTCTTAGATCTGAATTGTTTATGCAGATAACTAGAATAGAATTTGTACATGCTAAAGGGTTTCTGCATCGGGATATTAAGCCTGATAACTTTCTCATGGGCCTTGGACGAAAATCAAATCAGGTAATGGTACTGCTGTTCTGTATTTTTTGTACTGTTTTCATTAACTCCCCCCACTCCCGAAACCAAAAAAAAAAAAAATAGAGTTCGTTTCTTCATGATTCGAATATGATATTGTGCTATTCAGGTTTACATTATTGATTTTGGTCTTGCCAAACGATATCGGGATTCAATAACAAATCGGCATATCCCCTATAGGTACACTTTCTGTTGTATAGTCAAGAATTTATTTATTTATTGTGTATTCTCTCATTATTTGGTGTTTATTTTCCTTTTTATCTTTTATTAATTTGATCAGTTAAAATTCTTGTTCACTATATAAAAATGATGAGAAGGTTACCTTGAAGGTTAGAAAAACACATTCTCGTGGGATTAAATTTGGAAAACTTAATTTGGAAATCATTGGGATTTTCTTCTCAATTTCCTAGTGTCCTTCATACGTCTCGCCAATCTATATATAATATTGATTTATTCTTCACTTGTTCAGGGAAAATAAAAACCTGACTGGGACTGCTCGGTATGCAAGTTGTAATACTCATCTCGGGATTGGTAAGTGGAGAGACACTTATCGTGCCTTTTTAAATATGTCTGATCTTTCATTCCTTTAGTTTTAGCAATGCAGAAGAGAGGAAAAGTTTTCAGGGGCCGCTATGAGCATTCAATTATATTTTCCTTTGTTTTGTAGAGCAAAGTCGGCGGGATGATTTAGAATCCCTTGGATATGTACTTCTGTATTTCTTGAGAGGAAGGTAAGCAGTTTTTCTAAATCTTCTTGCTTTAACCCCCGTTTGACCCCCATTAAAATTATAATTCATTTTTCTCTCTTATTATCAATCACACATTCTCGAATAAGATAATTAAGAAAACATTATTCTAACCATTAAATTTTCAAATAATGAGGCCAAACGGGGCTTAGTATAGTTTCAATTTTCAGTTTCTGATTAGGAAGCACTGACTCCCTTGGAGTGCGCTGGACGCCAAGATGTGGCATCTCTTTTTTTATTTTTTCACAATCAGATAACTAGATTAAAATAATAGGGAGGAAAAAAAGAAGACACTAACCTGAGCAAATGAGGAACTGCTGGTGTGGGGTTTTTTTTGTTGAAGTGGGTGGAGGGAGTGGAAATGGGTGAAAGGGAGTTGAGGAGGGGTAAAGGTGCTTTCTGAAATGGTCTGGAGCCCCAATGTATTTTGTTTCATAAACACCAATTAATTAAAAGTGAATACGGTTATAGCTAAAAAAGTAAGCATGGTTTTTAGGTTAGAAAATAGGCATGTTTTTTATAATAACAAAAAAAAAAAAAAATGATAGTGTTTTAATATTGTGTCATACTTTTTTGAAAAATCGCATTAGCATGCTTGTGTCGTGTGACGGTGTAGCATGTCCATGTTGGTGCTCCCTAGATTTTTCAAAAGATGATTCAAGTTGGCTTCTCTTTAACCAACTACTTGTTTGTGTATAGCCTTCCATGGCAGGGTTTAAAAGCTGCCACAAAGAAGCAAAAATATGACAAAATATGTGAGAAAAAACTATCCACTCCTATTGAGGTTGGCACATGTATCAATTGTTATTCGTTTTCTAGTCTGAGATTTTCTTTCAATGTTTTAATTGTGTTATACTTGTTCTTTCCCTGCCTGAAGATGTTGTGCAAGTCCCATCCAGTGGAATTTGCATCATATTTCCACTACTGTCATTCATTGACATTTGACCAACGGCCTGATTATGGATTCTTGAAACGCCTCTTCCGTGAACTGTTTACTCGCGAAGGTATTGTTTAGTCTGTTTCCCAGTTATATAAGCATGTAACATGTTTGTGTTAAAGAAAAGCAATTAATCATCTTGATTTTGTCGGATGATTAATCTGCAGTTGGGATGAGCACAAGATTGATGTGATGTCTCAGTTTCAATGTCTTAATAATGCTATCTTGACTTATCAACTAAATAGTTTCTATATTGCAGGATATGAATTTGATTACATATTTGACTGGACCATTCTAAAATACCAGCAAGCAAAAATAAGTAAAATGCAACAACGGGAATCAGTAATGTCTTTCTCCCTTTGTTTCTCAAATTCCCTTCTTTATGTTGATAGAGTGATTGTTGGTTCTTTTGCCTACTTGACCGGTCTATATTTGCCAGCATCATCAGTGTGTTTTCTTTGTGTGAAACTGCACATCATTAACATCTTTTTCTCATAGTTGAATGTATAAATTTTTGACAGCCGACTGCTGGAGAGAGTAGTCATCCAGTTCCAATGGATATAGAGAAGCAAAAAGGTTAGATATTTCTGGTGCTTTTTGCTTGACAGGATAACAAAGTGTAACATAAAATTATTTATCCAATTCAAGTTATTGTTGGAGGATTAAATTGTGTATGGAAAATTTTTATTTCGCTTAATCGTATTTGTTCCACTTACCGCAAAGGGGAATGTTTTGCCTATTTTGTAATATGTACAATGCATCAATACTCTTGAAATTACACAGATTAAGTTAATCATTGGCAGCGTAATTATTTTCTAATGGTTCTTAGTGCATAGTTAACACTGGGATTGAGGTTGAAACAGAAACCAAAAACCAAATAAACCAAATAAAATAAAGAGAATAACATCAAAATTAGATTAAATATGCTGGTATTGAATGTCCTGCCTGTCAGTTTTTCTTCGATAATTTTCTTTCATATATCTTTCAGTAACTGAACAGTGACATTTTTTAATTTGATGTCTGCAGCCAATAATACTTGTTTAGTTGACTTGGGTGAACGAATGAGATCAAACAATGCAGCTGCTAGTTCTGGCGTCCGTATGGAATTTAAATCGTCAACAAATCGAAATTTGACTTCCGAGAATCCTCTTAGTAGAAATGTATGCCAGAGATATGACATCAATTTTTATTATCCATGTTTTTCCCTTTTATTTCGTGTAAAAATAAATTGTTCAGTTTTCTTATGGCTGTATGAATAGTGTTGTCTGATCTTGGTGTTCTTAATATTATAAGCAATCAAATTTATCTTTTTATCTATCAGCAGATTGGACTCTTATTTTACTTAATTCTGTAGATGATGAGCAATGCACACATGCCATCTACTTCATTTGCTTCTGCTGTCATGGCGAAAGGGAATGGCTCAAAACTTATAGTATCTAATGAAGCAAGTACTGCTAATGCAAATGGCGATAATACTGGTCCTTCAAGCAGTTGGATCTCTTCTCTGCGTCGTATATCTTCTGCCAAGTGATTCATATGGTAATGTTGTCCCACTACAACCCCACGCCTTCCCTTTCTATATCCAGCATTCAGTGGCTAGGTTATTCATATGGATGCATGTTAATATACCATGTTCAGTTGCTTATGTACTGATTTTCTGTTTTCAGGTAGACACCAAGCTGAACCAGTGCGCATGCAGGGGATTTGGACTTATCATCTGCATGCCATGGTTACAAGGTTGTAAGTAGTGTGTGGCGGATCATTTTATGAAGACCTTTGGTTTCAATTTTTATCAGATATGGCGATGTTCAACTACACAGACGTTACGGTTACTCTGTGGGTGGAGGCCTTGGTTAGATGTCCCTGAGATGATAGCTGAACACATGGGCTGATTGGTATTGACATATCAAATATCTCAGCTTCCCAGACGTATTGATGCAACAAATTAATTGCTACTGTTTTGGTTTTTTGGTTAATTGTAAAAGGAATAATATATTCAGCTATTTTCTCAGTTGATAGATCTCACTGTCATATTGTGCATATGGTGGTTTTTTTAAGTTTTGTTTCATGTGCTTCTTAATATGGGTTGCTTGCTTGTGCCAAGAGGCCTGTAAGGATCAATATAAAGACAATTGAGCCAACTTGATCGTTGGTATTATCGCCACAAAGAAGAGCTTTCGGATTATTTTATTTACTCTTTCATATGATGTGAACTGCATGCCCTTCAGATCCTTTGGTGACAAGAAACCCCTCCTGGAAAATGTATTGATAATGTGAAATGGATTTTTCATAGTAAACGTGGAATCTTCAAATTTGGGAAGCCAATATTTTATGCTTCCTTGTTTATTGAGTTTGTTTTCAGGAAAGAATTTTCCATAAATGACTTCCTATTTATGCTCGAGGGTCGTACTAAGATGAACATCTGGTATACTAAAATGGGTAAAGCTAAGAACCAAAAATATACGCTTCAAGATGGTGCAATTGAGGATAAATCAAGGGAATAATGACTTAGGTGATTGGGAAGAGACTTTTTTTCAAGAGTGATGTGATTAATCACTAGTTTAGATTATGGTGGGGCAGGTAAAAAAATCACATGGCTTGTGGTTGGTAAGATCTAGTTTCACTAGATGTAGCAGTAAATAGAGTAGCGAAGAAGGGGATTTATGTAGCAGTCCCAAATTTATTTGGATCTATGGCTTTGCTTTTGTTGTTGTATGCTTGATGGCCTGACTATTTGGTTACGCTGTAGGGTCATTTTAGCTGCTGTGTGAATATATGACCTTTCTATCTGGGATATAATATTATCTCACTGAAAAATGGAGAAATATCTTATTGCTCCTTATGATTTGCTTTATATCTTCTTGTGAACTGGTCGAATCTGCCAATGCTGTAATCTCTTTTACCTCCCCTTTGTAGCATCCTATATCATGGTAATAATGGCTTACTGTATTAATTGAATTTATTCTTCTCAATCTTTTGTCATGCTTCCTCTAGTTTCTACATGGCCGGGCACTCGTTTTAGTCTGTTGTTCTTTCTTTTAATCATTTCACCATCTTAACTTGCTTAGAATCGATAAATTTGTGGCTTAAAAGCGCCTTTAAGTCATTGAATTGCTGTTCATTTGCACGTGATTTGTATCCCTTGGATACAGATCAAAGCTTATTCAAATGATGAAGCTTACCAACCACTTTATTTTTGAAGTTATTTTAGATTACCTGTCAATTTTGAGTTCACACATTTGCAAATTGCAGGATTTGCTCTTTATGTTATAGTGGGAAGAAAGAAACAGAGATATTATTGAAGGCTGGTACTGCCACTGTCTGGTGTAGCTTCGTGAGATAAGTCTGTCTTTCCTATGATCAGTAACAAAAGAAGCTGGAGTTTTTGAATCTTTGGGTTTGCCCTTGTTAATTTTATGAAATTGCAATGCGTTTTCTAATGAATCGGAAACACCTGACTTTTTGGTTTAAGCTTATAATGGATTTATCACAAGGGAGGCAATCTGTTGAATGTATTGTGGTCTGCCTGTACATATCTTTCTGCATATAATACACAAGGTTTACTGGATTGCTTTAAAAGCCACATTTTGAGTTGTTGGTTTCTAACATGGATTATAATCTGGCAACTTGTCAAAAGATTGCAGAAAATGAACTGGGCTTATTGGCCTTAGTTCTGAAGAACTAAAGCTGGTATATGGCCTTCATGTTGTACATGAAATTCTGTAAATACATTCATGAGAAAAACAGTGATAAAGCTGTAGAAAATGGAAGACTTCCTGGATAATTGCTGTGAAAATCTGGATGTGTGAGTGCCAACTAGGTCGTAATGAGCTCTTTATGCTATTGCAGGACCATTGATTTGAAGGACAGTGACAATAAAACTGCACATACAGTTTGGGTTGAATAAAAAAAAAACAGTTATGTTTATCAATTCTTGGTGTATGATGTTGATCCCGCTCTTTGTAGTACTTTTAGGATCTTTTTCTGCCGGGTTACAGATTGGCAAGCCGGTGAAGGTAAGTAGGGATTTTACCTTCTGTCACGGTGATTCCCTTGGATTCTGTTTGAAATTTATGTAAAATAGTTGTGGAGATTGTCATCCTTGCCAACAGGCCCCCATCTTGAAAGGTATGTCGAGTAGTTTTGGTTCAGTCATCGTCATCTCTGCTTGCGCTATTATGCTGGATGTTTACTGTACTTGTCGAAATGTTAGGGATATTGGATGGGATTGGCCAGCATAAGTATCAAGTTTTTTGTTTCTTTTTCCTCTTTAACACTGTTCAGGGTAAAAGCTGCAGCCAGGGGCAGTACTCTAATGTCGTGCGTAGTTAATTTTTGTTGGGCCAACTTCTATCGCCTCGTGATGAACTCAACTATCCACTTCTGTTCTGCCAGAATCAAGATTTGATGGTCCTTGCTACTGTTGGGATATTCTATACAGGTAAGATTACAGATCGAGCGAGTCGAGTCTTGTTTAGACGAGTTCACTTTCAATTGATCAATTGAAGTGTCAAACTTCTTGGCCCCATCATATAGCCCTATGTGATTTAAATAAATCGTATCCAATTAGTACCAGGCACAAAATTAATTTTATTTTTCAAATCATGAACGGCTAGATTCACAAATGAAAGTGATGATATATTTTTTATAAAGTGGGTTTTAGTGACGACAACTATCGGCGGACTTTAGCTGGTTTGGATCACCAGCAATAAAACGTCTAAAACGAAAACTCTTGGATTTGATTGCTTTTTTGGAAAAATATATTATAAGCTCCTTATGATTTGAAGTTGATGTTAATTTTAAGGGATAATTGCAATAAAAGCCTCAAATCTTTGAAACGCTAGTAGAATTTTTTCAAACTTTTGATTTGTTGTAATTGTTATTTCTAACATTTCCAAACGTTGCAGGCGAAATTCTTTTGGACAATTTTCATCCTTAATTTTGTCAGTTGATCAAAATTTTAACTTTGACCTCATTTTTAATATTTAGAAAGAGGTAAAATGATAATTTTTTATTTATCACATTAAATAATTAAATAAAAAATAAAAATAGTCATCTTCATTCTCACCCCCACCCCTTCTCAGCCTTAAGGAAAATTCTTGTTGTACTCAATTGTATGTATATTCAGGTGGGCCCCATCCATGTGAGAGAGGGACATCATCATGTACAAATTTTTATGTACACATAGCACATTCCCAGACGTAAAATCAAATAGACCTTCAACTTGCACATTGATATGTTTCATGCGTAAACTTGGGTTTCAAATCTGGGGGTTCAAATTTCCGGCAAGAATAATGTTAAATTTTGATTTGGTAATATAAATAAACCAGTTCGTTTTTTAAACAAATCCAATTTTCTAACAACCCAATCCATTTCGAGTTGATCTTCACAAGTTCGTTTGCCTAGCAGCCCTTTTGTGTTATACAGACCAGTGTGGAGATGCACCGCCAATGTAGTATGGTGACTACTTTCATCTACCCTACATTTGTGGATTTTAGACCCAATCAAAGCTGGAGTTTAACAACAGACAAGGGTCTATTATTCTTGGATGGAGTTTAACCGCCAATAGCAGGTGGCTGGTGGAGGTAGAGGTGGCGGAGGTCTGGTATCTGATTTTGGGTTTGAGGTGGGTGGCGATGGGAGTGAGGACAAAGACGAGTGTGTTTTTATTTTTTATTCCTTATTTTTAAATTCAATTTGTTTTATTATTTAACTTGATAAATCGAAAATTTCTCTTTTGCCCATTTCTAAAATATTAAAAATGCGGTTAAAGTTAAAATTTTGGTCAACCAACAAAATTGTTGATGGAAATTATCCAAAAAGACTTCACCTGCAACATTTGGAAAGGTTATGGATGACGATAGCAACAAATCAAAGGTTTAAAAAAAGTCTACTAGTTGGGACTTTTGCTACGATTATCCCTAATTTTACCTACACATGTACAACTATTTACACACAATGGGGGATTCATTACTTATCTTCATTGTAATTTTGTTGTAGTTTCTTCTAAACAAGCTAAATTAACATAAGACTAATAAGGGGTTTGTTTGGTATGACTTTTGAGAAGATTGTCATATATGACATAATTGTTTAGAGTGCACCATTCAGGATGGGGTTTTTCTTCCTATGGATATCCCTTTACGACATGTGGATAGAACCCTCGACGAGATGACAGAGTGCACCATAAGGTTGTCTCCACAGGACATCTGCCTTCCAACTTTAATGTTGCCTTTTAGCTGTCGCAGGATTTGAATCTTTGATACTCCGTAGAGAACCTTCCTACTTTATCACTGCGCCATGTCTGTTGGGGCCAAAAAAATAGTTTTTCTATGTTGTTTATTTTGAATTGTATAGATTTCATGTTTTTTATCATGAACTAAATTATTCTTCTAGAGTTTGACTAACCAAAACTTGAGAGTATAATTTGAATTTATTTTAGTTATTTCTATAAAAAAAAATTCATTCCATTTTATTTGTGTTTATGATTTTAATGTTTTTTTATTTAATTGACCACTAATTGAATGATTAGATGTTAATTAATTCTGGTACTCGAGAGAGGAAAATTTAGGCACAATCATAAGATTAGCGCACGTAGATTTTATGGGTTTTCGAGAGAGTGTAGAATCTATGAAGCTTACTCTATAAAAGAACTATGAACTTGATAAATTCTTAATTTTAACTTGAAATAAAGATATTGGAATTGAAATTTAGGATTAATTTATAGTCAGCACTCGAGAGGGAGATATAAATACAATTGAGCTCTTACTTATAAACATGAGAAAGTTGATTAGAGATAATTAGATAATTGAGAATCATATTTGATAGTTAGGTAAAATCAAATCCTGGGCTTTCTTATCTTGAGTAATCTTTCAAACTTGTTTTGATATCGTTGAATTTGTCACCATATTCATCATTATATTAGTTTAAAATATTGATTTTATAATTCAATCGTCTAGATAAAATAAAAGGTTATATAATTATAGTGCTTAGTAGAATTTGAATTGCAATCTCTGTGGGTTTGTCAATCTCAACTCTATTCATATATTACAAAACTTGATATTGTACACTTACGATATAAATGACGTTATAGAAAACGCATGACATATTAGATGCCTATTGGCGAGATGTGGAAGATTTGAGGTGGTGTGATGTGGGTTGTGGTGTATGAAAATGGTGATGGTGACGGATACAGATTCAAATTCAGATCCTAGGGCAGTTGGCAGTGGTGTTTGCAGGTGGTTTTATTACTGTTGGTGGTGGTTTGTGGAGTGATTTTGGGTGGTGGTGACACTGTTAGGCTTTGTTGTTGGTGGTGGTGGTACATGGGTGTTACTACTAGCAATGGTATCTATTGTGGTGGTAGTTGCGAAGTAGTGATGATTTTTGGTTGTGGGTGTTAGTTTTGTTTGAGGTGGTAATGTACTAATGTTGCTACCTAGAGGTGGAGGTGGTGGTTTTGGCGATGGTAGTGTTGGAGGCTATGCGACTAGAGACAATGGTGTCACAAAATTTTTTAATTGATTGTGACCAATAAATTGGTTAATATGTGACTAATGAATAGATAAGTCGAGATGAATAAATATTTTGTAATCTAAAAATTTATTAATTTGTAATCAATAATTTGATAATTTATGACATTGTGACTTATAAAACTTGTGAGTTGTAATCGAAAAAATAAATTGTGATCTATAAATTTTTTGATTTATAACTTATGAATGAATTGTAACCTATAAAATTTGTTATTTGTGATCGTGAAATAATTTATTATCTATAAAATGTTTGACAAACCAATTAATTTGATAATTGTGATCAAATTATATAAAATTGTGACTTTAATGTATTTAATTAATAAAATATATTTTAACTAATTATTTTATAAATAAAATTTATTTATGTTCGAGTTTTGAAATTTTAAACTTTGTTTCTTAGTTTTGAAAAGAGTCATAGTTAATCTCTTATATATGACATTTTCCCGCAATACAAACATTATGCTGTCAAGTGAAGCAAAATGAATTTTTCACCCTAAATGGCTAGGGAAAAAGTTTGTGTTTATATACAAAATATTTTATTATTTAAATGTGTAGTTAAAAATGAGTATAAAAACTAAAGAGTTTTAAAATTACGAGTGTCAAACATGAACTTAATTTCTTTGAATCGCCTCCATTATAATGAGATTTTGGAACTAATGTATTTTAAAATAATAATTTTTGAGAGAATATGTGATTAAAAAAGAAGGAAATATTTTTAATTTATATATAATATAATTTTGTTGAAGAATATATGATCAAAAAGAAAAATATATTAAATTTTAATGGTATCAAACAAGGGGTAAAAATAAGGGTTGACTTTAATTCAAATTTTTAGATGAATCAAACATTGAGTAAAATTGATACTTCCACCTCTATCAAAATCCACGTATACCTCAAGGCGTGAGTGACAACACAGTCGACCTATTTGACGAAACATTCGCTAGAGCTCACAGAAAATCACGTCGCAAAACACAGAGGGAGGAAAAGGATGAGGTCACGAGAGAAGGACCAAACGACGTCACACCATCCACTATTGAGCAGCCTCGTTGTGCGTCCCACCGACAGCGTTGATGGAGGAGGTGCCACTGGTGGCGGTGGTGCTGGCAGCGATTACGAACCCGGCGAGGTGCGTCGTGATCCGCCTCCGTATTTTCGTTCGGATCGATACGCCTCCGATGATCATGGTTTGTTTTTATCCTGCTATTAATACTCTATTTTGCCTAATTTGTTAGAAATCAGATCCCAACCCTAATTTTCTTATTTTTTTACTCTTATTCTGTTGTATGTGTTTCAGGATTCAATATAACCTTGTTAGCATAGAAAAATATGATTTTTGTTTGATTCGTTGATGATAGTAATTGTGTCGTAATATGTAAGTACCATACATGTGGAATTTTAAACAAGGAAAGTAAATTAGGTCTTCTATATGTTTTAATTTGGGGCTTTATTGAGTTAATGTGTCTTCTTAGTGTTTGAGCTCGAACTTGATGAGTTCAAGGTATACTGAGGAATATGAGAGCTACGCAAGCTTGAGCTCAAATTCAAGTCTTATCTCCATTCACACCCTTGCACCTCTTACATAAAACCTGTAATGCCTGGGATTTTCTCATCTTAGATAAACGAAAGAGCTCAAGTTTTTATATATATATAATAAGTATCAACAAGAAGATGATGTTGACTATTGATCTCTCCATGAATGTAATGAAATTCTTTACTAAGCCCTTGTTTGATTTTTATTTTTTGGGAAATGATTTTTTGTAAAGTAATTTTTTTTGAAGAATTTGGTAAAATATAGGGAAAAATTATGAGTCCACGCCCAAAATTATTTTATTGGGTGAATTTGTGGTTTTAAATGAGTTAGAGGAAAAATGATTTTGAAAATCAAAATCAAAGGGCTAAATTTGTGAGATAATACAATGCCTTGCAGTCAAATTTTGGTGATATTACCAATTCTGTGTGTTTTAGTTTGTTTTTGTTATATTGAGAAGACATATGTGGACTTCTCAACATTATCAGAGTGCTATGTTGGTACTCTTTATGTTGACTTTCACTTATTTTATTTGAAACTCTTTTGGATTATAACGGCAGAAGAAATGTTGTTTCTTGGGAATCTTATCTATGAACATGCTGTTGTGTGCTATTTAGTGAAAAATGTATCTGATTGTCATTGTTTAGCAGGTGAAGTGTCTAGCTTATGCAAAAGAATGTGCTTTTGTATTGTCACCAAACTATGGTCGTTGAATATTATTCTGGAACATAAGATGACAATTTTCTATGATCTAGTGATCTTTGTCAGGAAGTAAATGTGTGGAGAGGCCTATTACATAATCAGGCTAAAGTACATTTAATAAAATTTAATGCTATTGATGAGTAAATAGGCATTATTTCTTTTTGATACTGCATTCTGTTGTGAATTTCTTCTTCTTGTTTAATATCCTGTAAATTATGGCATTTATTTCAAATTTGCGAGTCCATAAATATTATGACATACTTTATATGTTCATCAGTCTGTTTCCTCATTTTCAAGGATTGATGCTTGCAACCCTCGTTGCCATTGCCTTGTGTTGTCCACCAAAGAAATGTCACTTATGGACTATTGAATGGTGAATAAGTTTTGCTGTTGTTTTTTTCAGCGATAATTATGCCTGGTGCAAGAACTTGGGCCTTCAGGAAGGCACGTTGATGGGATTTTTAAATGATAACATGACTGTGTGGCAACTGATTTTTGAACTAATGGTATTACTTCGTTGGCAAGCCATGTGGTTGTATGAATATGTTTGAAGCTCTCAGGTTATGGTGAATGTGGTATATGTCGTTTTCTTTTCATGGGATTAAATTTTGACCAGCCATGCATCTCATTTGGAAGTAAGGTATGCTGATCATGTAAATGTTTACTAAGAAGATGTGCTGTTTTATCTGAGTTCTCAGATACAACTAACCGTAAATCTGACAGTTGTTAAAATCTCTAAGTTTGGGGAGCTATTTAACAATGATGAGGGGTGAGGAATGCAATTGCTACGAAAAAGCAGACATTGGCTGCTGATTGTATCTGATTTTAGTTGTATTCTTAATATTGGAAATGTTGAAATTCTGGTATGTGGTAAGTTTCTAGCCTGTTGAAGTTTGGGTTGAAGTTCAAAACTAAAATGTTTGAATGATTTATTGTGGGCTAACAGGGCCATTTTAAAGCAAAGTTTTGTGAGAGCAGACAGAATTGTGACTTCATGGATCGCATTATTTTGTAAAGTATCTGCTGGACTGACTTAGGTTCTGAATTGGATATGGGAAATGGAAACATAAAGCTGTTGGCATCTTGGAAAAGATTGGTTACATGGGGTATTGAACAGATAATTTCATTAATTTCTTATTGATTTTTGGTAGGATTTTGTTGTCTGTTTCAGGTTTGCGTGGTTGTTCATTCTCACTTTTTGTCGGGTACCTATGACCAAGGATCTCGGATGTATATATTTTGGAATGGTATCAACAGTGTGCCCTTGAGTGAACATGTAAATTCTGCAAGTGAACGAAGTTTCTATCTGAATTTCACCTAGGTGCATGACCAAGTGTTGGCTTGGTCACCATGAGTTTTGGCTATATATTGCAGGGTTGTTTAGAGATAACTAATTTTAACACTTAATGGTTGTCAAGTTTGATTGTGCCATCCAATTTAGCAAAACTTAGCTCATTTTTGTCCAAAGGATCTTAAATCCTGATCTTCTGAGGTGTGGATAGTTATGGTGTTTGTATTTTTACTGGTAACATCAGCATATTACTTGGGAAGCAATTTCAAGGGAAGTTGTTGGCTGGTTTTTTAGGCTCGTCTACACTAGTCTCTTATTTCTATAGTATTTTGACAAGGAGATGCTTCCAGTTGTGGTAACTGTTCCTTAACATGCTTGAATTTGTCCTTGGCATTTCTTGGGTTGCACATTGGCTTGTATAGGACACTATTCTTAGGTGACTTGTAATCACATGATTGGGTGTTTATAGCTTCGGGCACTGGCTTTTTTCAGGTTATAGAATGCGTGCAGGCTCCGTTTCTCCTGTGCGACGTAGTGATGCAGATCGTCGCTATAGTCCTGGTTTTGATCATTCTGGTGCTCCACCACGGGGTCGTGGAATTGGAAGTGGGAGAGATCTTGGTAGATATCGTGAAAGCTCCCCTCCTTATGGCCGTGGGAGGGGTGGTGGCAGGTTTGGTAGAGTGTATGATGGCCCTGGATATGGGCCTGGACCATTCAGAGGTGAAGGTTTGACAAGAAATAACCCTAATGTGCGCCCAAGAGAAGGAGATTGGGTTTGCCCAGATCCCTTGTAAGTCCTTTTTATTCTCCTTTTGCTCTCTATGTACATTTTTACCCTTGCCTTCTGGTTTGATCTTACTGGCCTTTTTCTTATTACGCTTTTGTCTTCGCAAATTAACACATTTGAGTTAAAATCCTTGTGCAGTATTTTGTTGGAAGATATGTCTGCAGATTCCATTAAGCCGATATTGATTTGGAGCATTACACTTGCGTATGGAAATATGTTTGCTTTTAAGGATGCCACGGAGCTTTGTGCACACATTTGCATAACACGTCTCTCTCATGTTATCTAACATTTTCTTTGATGTACCCCAATTGAACCAACAGAACTAAAATAAAATTAAAAAGAATAAATAAATTAAAATGAATATATCTGCTGGCTTACATGATGTGCATTTATGATTTGCCATTGCAACTAGTCTTTCTCCAGTATGTAAGTTCCTTTTTGTTCAAGAGGACCATTCATGAATATAATCTTGTTACCAAGTTCTCATTCTACTGGAGTTTGACAACCCTACTTACTGATCTTTCAAAAGGGATCTTTTTCTTCATATTTATTGCATGCGTGTGCTTGGTGTGAAGTGACAATTACTTCAACATTCACTTTTGAATTTATGTTGAGTTAAAAGCTGGGGGAGGCAAAAAGAAAGAGAAAATTTTGCTTAGCATTTGAGATGTAGTGACAGGGTAATTGAAATGTGCTGTGGGGTTTTTGTATTTGTTCTATTCTTTTCATATTTTCGAATGTTCATTTTTCTAAAATTAGCAACCTACTTGCTTGTGTCTAAAGCAGTTCTTTTGATGTCCCAGATGTAAAAACTTGAATTTTGCTAGGCGTGAGCACTGTAACAACTGCAACAGGTTCCGTTATGCACCTACTGGGAGTCCTAGGAGAGGTTATCCTGGTCCCCTGCCGACTTCCACTCGTCATTTTCCTGGTCCTTCGATGGATCGCTCTTCAGGGAGGAACATGAATGGCTATAGGTCTCTTCCTCGTGGTTGGGCCAGAGATGGTCCTAGAGATTTCAGAGCTGTTGCCCCTCCCAGAAATGAAGGCAGATTCCCCGATCCTCCAATCCGTAGAGATGAACCAGATTTCCCAGTCCAGGACTTCAGGGATAGATACAGGTTCGATAGACCAGTACCCCTAGATTTGGGCCCTAGAAATCGTGGAAGGGATGGCTTCATTAGTGAGAGGAGAGGGGCATATGAGAGACGACCAGTTTCACCACCTCCAGCAGCACTTGCTCATGGCCCGTATGAGAGACGACCAGTTTCACCACCTCCAGCAGCACTTGCTCATGGCCAATGGGCTCGAGATATTAGAGGGAGAAGCAGGTCTCCTGTTAGAGGTGGGCCACCACCGCCTAAAGATTACCATCGCGACATATATATGGATCGGGGCCGAAATGATCGGCGTTGTATGGGAAGGGAGGCATTTTAGCTGGTGGTGTCGAAGCATTGCATTGCAGATATTGGTGTGTTGAGAATTTTAAGGATTATGTTGCATAAAATTACTCTTTTTTTTTTTTTTTTTTTTTTTTTTTGTCTGAAGTTGGATGTACTTTGTGTTGAGAGTTTAGCTGAGAGTCATGTCATTTTGAAGTCTTGATTACTGTTCTGGAGATGTTCGTGTTCACGGAGAATCCAACGTTTTGCTCGACAATTTTGTGCATTTTATCGTAGTAAAAGCCATTCTATGGAAACTCGAGTGTTCTTTTGCATGAGCTGCGTAATTTTATGGCTTTTTGTGAATGTGATCTTAATCCTTGCGATTTTGTGGCATGTTAAAATGTATGTTGGCAAAATTATTTTAAAATTATAAATTGGGCAAAACATTATTTTTATTATACATTTTATTGGACTCGTAGATTCTTGAAGGGTAAATATTCACAATTTTTATTCACATATTTTGAAGGATACACAACTTATAATTTTCAAAAATGCTTTTAAATATACAAATATCCAGCATGTTAGGTTAGGAGTTGGTTTGATATTGCTGTGCTGCTAAGAAAAGTGCTAAATTTTTAGTGAATTTTTATTTCAGAATTACTCTATATACAAATTAAACAAAAATGATCTAGTCTCTGTTTGGTTTAGATAAAAGTTAGTTTTTTCAGTTAATTTTGAAAAAAGTTGATGACATGTGGTTGAAAGTTGTGAATACCATGAAATGTGATTGAAATAAATAAGAATGAGAATGAAAAATATAGTTGTTATGAGTCTCATACAAGAGATAAAAATTCAAATTTGATAGTTTGATGTGATGAATAACGATCATATTTTTCTTTTTAATGAAAAAAGAATATGAAACAAACAAGGCCAAACGAAAATGCTTGTGTACATTATCCTCTATATAATCTTTTGTAAATTGAAGAGAAGTCAAAAAATGTGGAGAGATTTATTTATTTATATTTTTGGCTGATGAGATTTTGATCCAATTAAATTTCGTTATATCATTTGTTGGTAGTGGTGATGTATATGTAGCATAACCATGAAATAAATTGTCGATTTTGACTTATATTTTGAAGAGGGTTTTTTTTTTTTTTTTTTTTTTTTTTTTTTTTTTTTTTTTTTTTTGTGGGGGGTTGGGGAATGATATTTTGAATAGAGATTTTTTGGAGAATAGGTAGTTAAAAGTAGAAAAAAAAAATTAGGTTTATGTGCAATTTTATAGTGTGAATGTGTGATTAAAAATGAGTATGATAAAAAAAAATAAGTTTTGAAAAAAAATAAAGACAAATAGTGGCTAACTTTTAACTCAAATTTTTAATTGGAATATACGGAAAAATTACTCTACACCCAATATGTTAGCCCTTGTTTGGGCTCCATATATTCATCAAAATATATTTTTAACAGTGATTTAACATTATTTCAAATACATATTTCTCAATAAAATAATATTGCACACAAATTCAAAATTTGTCCTTATTTTTTAACTACACATTTTCTATCATAAAACTATTTCAAATGTATTTTTTTGAGAAAAATGGGGCTCAAACAAATGTGCCTTTTGTATTATTAGTATCATTTCTAGCATTTATAAATTTAATTTTTTTTCCTTTTACATCTTTATGTGCCTTTTGTACTATTAGCATCATTTCTAGCATTTATAAATTTAATTTTTTTCTTTTATATCTTTAGCAATATTATAAAAAAAATTTCTAAGGCAATATACATTCCCCAGAGTAGTTTGAAAATAACAAAAAATAAATCTATTATATTTGAAAACAGGAGTTGGTTTGATATTGCTGTGCTTCTAAGAAAATTGCTTAATTTTTAGTGAATTTTTATTTCAGAATTACTATATATACAAATTAAACAAAAATGACATAGACTCCGTTTGGTTTAGATAAAAGTTAATTTTTTCAGCTAATTTTGATAAAATTGATGACATGTGGTTGAAAGCTATGAATACCATGAAATGTGATTGAAATAAAAGAAAATGCTTCTGTACATAATCTTTTGTAAATTGAATAGATGTCAAAACATGGAGGGAATTTTTTTTTTTTTTTGGTTGATGAGATTTTGATCCAATTAAATTTCGTTATATCATTTGTTGGTAGTGGACCTAGTGGTGATGTATATGTAGCGTAATCATGAAATAAATTGTCGATTTTGACTTAATCTTTTGAAGAGTCTTTTTTCTTTTTTTTTTAATAGTGATTTTTTGGAGAGTAGGCAGTTAAAAATAAAAAATAAAAAAAAAGTTTGGATTTATGTGCAATTTTATAGTGTGAATGTGTGATTGAAAATGAATATGATAAAAAAATAAGTTTTGAAAAAAATAAAGACAAATAGTGGCTAACTTTTAACTCAAATTTTTAATTGGAATAAACGGAAAAATTACTCTACACCCGATATGTTAGCCCTTGTTTGGGTCCCGTATTTTTATCAAAATACATTATTCAACAGTGATTTAACATTATTTCAAATACATGTTTTTTAATGAAATAATATTACACGCAAATTCAAAACTTTTCCTTATTTTTTAATCACGCATTCTCCATCATAAAACTATTTCAAAATGCATTTTTTGAGAAATGGGGCTCGAACAATTGTGCCTTTTGTATTATTAGTAGGGATGACAATCGAGCTTGTCGGCTCGGAAAAAAGCTCGAGCTCTCTCGACTCGGAATAGCCGAGTCTCATTTTGGAGTGTCGGGCAAAGTCCTTGCTAGCTCGGGCTTACAAGCCTATATATATATATACAAAAAAAAAAAATTTTAAAGGCAGCTGGCATGGCAGCAACCAGTTGCCATGTTTATAGATTAAAAAAAATAAAATAATAATAATTCAGCAAAACACCGAGCCTGCCCAGCTCGGCTCGGAAAGGCCTGAGCCGAAAGCTCAGGTCGAGCTTTTTTTTGACCGAGCTTTTACTCGGCCCGACTCGAGACCAAAAAAAAGGCTTGATCATTTTAAACATATATATATATATATATATATATATATATATATATATATATATATATACAAAAAAAAAATTATTTTAAATGCAACGTGCTGTTGCCTGCCTTAATTTTAAAGCAGCAAGTTGCTCCCAAACATGGTAGCAACTTGTTGTCATGTTTGTAGGAAAAAAAAATACCAAAACATCGAACCTGCCCGGCTCGGCTTGGAAAGGCTCGAGCCGAAAGTTCTGGTTGAGCCTAATTTTTTTTGGCCGAGCTTTTATTCGGCTCGCACCCGAAAAAAGACTTGATCATTTTACTCGAGCCAAGCTCGAGCCTAAAATTTCGACTCCCGAGCCAACTCGGCTCGACTCGTTGATATCCCTATTTATTAGTATCATTTCTAGCATTCATAAATTTAATTTTTTTTTTCCTTTTATACCTTTATGTGCCTTTTGTAATATTAGCATCATTTCTATCATTTATAAATTTAATTTTTTCCTTTAATGCCTTCAGCAATATTATCAAAAAATATTTCTAAGGCAATATACATTCCCCATAGTAATTTTAAAATAACAAAAAATAAATCTATTATATTTGAAAACAAAATTGTAGCTCATAGTTATAGAGAACAAATTAATTTAATTAACTAGGTTTAAAATAATTACCTTAGTAATTGATCACAAATGCTCTTAATCCCATTCCACTCCATCACCATTGACAACACCCGAGCATCATGCCACCCCACCACTACTAACAAAATTAACTCCAAAACTTCGACTAGGCAGCAATGCAAGAATAAAGCTAGTCAGACAGGATAAAAAATAGGGAATTAATGATAGACTAATTTGGCAAAAATTGATTGGCTTATTTTATTTTATTTTTCAAAGTCTCCAATCATATTTCGACATATGTCCACCTAGTTTTTTGACCCTTGTTTTTGAGCCTGTTTTCTATAGCGTTATTGAACTTTAAAAACATGTCTAGATGTCATTTTCTCATTATTTTTAGAGTAAAAGCTCTCTTAGAAAATAGGCTTGTATGCCCATCTCGAGATGGACCTAGGGATGGTTCTAAGAGGTCCTCCTCTATCTTTTTTTTTTTTCCAAGCTTATTCGGTGTTCAAATTTAGAGTTAATGATCATTGAACTTATGTTCGTATCTTCAATTATTCACTGAAGTTTAAAAAAAAAAATCAAGTTTTGACTACTAAATTTATCCAAACGTTGGACGTTATTCACTAGCATAACATCCGTTTAAGACTTTTAACGAAATTAGTGATGTGGTTAATAGAATACACACATGACACCACGCCACGTTGTTAACAAATTGTTACGTAAGAAATCATCTTTCATTGCTTACTAAACTTCGAAAATTTTCATTGATTGCTCACTAAACTTTAAAAAACATTTTGCTCCCTAAATTTTAAACTGGTCGAATTTTGGCCACTAAAAATTTAAAACGTTTAAATTTTACTCTTGGAATCGATAACCTAGATGCATTTATCCATTTTATTACTTTTACACAAACTCTACACTTGCGTATCACATTTTTTAATGAACAACAGGTTGATGTCATTTTTGTAAGTTTACTAGCCAAAATTTGACTACTTTAAACTTCAATGCACAATCTAAGACATTCTTCAAAGTTAAATGGGTATTCCAGAATGTTTCTAAAGTAAATGAGTAGTGAAAGAAGTTTTAAATTTTTAGTGGCCAAAATTCGACAAACTCAAAATTCAATGAGCAATCAAAGACTTTTTTCAAAGTTTAGTGATAATCGAAGCCTTTTTCCAAAGTTTACTGAACAATGAAAGACTTGTTTTTATATGACAATTTTTGAATGGCGTGATGAAATGCCACATGTGCATTCCATTACCTATGTCACTAATTTCATTAAAGGTTTGAAATGGATGTTATGTCAGTAAGTAACGTCAAATATTTGGATAAATTTAGTGATTAAAACTTTTAAATTTTAATGAGCAATCTGTTGGGCATGTTTGGTAAGTGATGCCCAAATCCCCTAGGCGATGATGAAAACCAAAGCTCGTTTTAACTTCATAGGCTATAAGCCCAAGCCTAGAATTGAAGAATTAAATCCACACCACAATTGAAATAGCCCAATTATATTGGATATTTAGAGGTAATCAGTCCATTAGAATAGATACTGAATACCCAACTTGGATGTAATTTGAAAAGCACAAGAAAGATAGATAAATATAATCAATTTCTTTCTTCAACCACCTTATCTCGTCTTGGATGAGTTCTATCTTTTAGTTAACATAATATTGCATATTTTTTATCCTAATCTTGCAAGATTTTTGGGAAATC